TGTGGTTAGAATAGTGTGGACAGACCATTGTCTCTAAGTGTTTCCTTTTGAATTGTCCCTCCATTCTCTGAAGGTTCCTGGAAACCTAAAACAGGCTTCCAGATTCTCACTCACAATTTAGTCTCTAGGGGGCATATCATCAAAATCAAACAGCCCTTGCACAGAAATATCTCAATCCTTAATCAGCCCTTACCAAAATTAATTCAAGGCATAAAGAAAAGGACCAGAAAGTGAAAAAATGGAATTATGCTATGCAGAAATGGAAAACAGGTGCGTGTGTGTGTGTGTGTGTGTGTGTGTGTGTGTGTGTGTGTGTGTGTTGGGGATAGCAAAGAGATATGCTGCCTTCAGAGCAAAGAGAAGAAGGATGTGGGAACATCAGATATGATGTTAAAGCTGGAAAGACAGGAATCAGGGACAAACATTGGAGGGAGCAAAGAAAATAAAAGTGATGTAAGAAAAAATCTTCAGGGAGTGCTGTTAGAGGGAACAGCAATCTAGTCTCTTTCTGATTCGACAATGACAATTTCTTTAAAGCAAAATCCTGACATTCATGATTGGTTACAATTGTGTTTTTTTGCTTCCCCCTAGGAAAGCGTAACTGCTGGCTTAAGGAACATGGTACCTGCTTGTAAATTAGTGAAGAGAGCTCCTTTTGCTGACAGCTCTAACATCTGCCATCTGTTTGCACAGAATGATGCCCTGGTGCTCCTCTAATTGGACATAAATTAGGTTCCAGCGGCAGTTTTGACAGCATGCCTCTCTCTCTCTCTCTCTCTCTCTCTCTCTCTCTCTCTCTCTCTGTCTCAGCTATGGATTCAATGCTTTCTTGGATGATCAAGATCTCCCCTAAAAGTTGTAAGTCCCTTTATTCAAATACTCAATTTGTCCTTTTTTGTGTGTTTATTTGTGAAACTGGACCTCTCCCATATGCTTTTCTACGTAAAGAGGAAAACGAAAAAAATCCCAAGGGTCCCCATATCCTACTTAAGAAGAGGAAGGACACATTTTTTTCGGGGCTTATGATACACGTTCAGCTATGTATGCTCCTTTATACGTGTTAAATTATTTGCTTTCAGCTCAATTTCATATTGTAAGTACTATTATCCCCTGTCTCATTGAAAAGGAACATGATACTTAAGAGTTTGAGTAGTTTTGCATATTCTCATAAAATGGTCCTGACAATAGTCAAGTGTTGAGTTCTGTTGTCAATACATATCCATTTCTACTGCACAGTGGATAAGCCTAGGGATAGGAAAAGAGAAGGATGAGGAAGAACATGTATGTGCAATGCTATGTGATGCTTCTTTGGCTCTTACAACATCAATGGGCAAAAGGGATGGCACAAGACTAAATGATAATTATCCTCCAAGTCCTGTCCAGTTTCACACCCACAGTTAAGTTACTATGGGTTCTATCAGGTCATCAACCGTGGTGGGCTTCTGCTGCATCCTCTGTAAAGCTTGCTACCTCAGGCAGCATCACATAGATGTGAAAATGTAAAGGACTGCAGGGTAGAAAGTTCTATGGTCACCCAGCAGTCCCTTCTCAGTTGCCACACTCCAATCTTCTCTCATTCCTCTATGCCAGTTTTTCTATTTTATGCTTTAGAAACAATACGACAATAAATTTCCATAACTTTTCTTTGATTCTTTTTTATGTTTTGACTACTCTTAAAAGCTGTTTTTTTTAAATAATGAAAACACAAGGAGGATGTGAATTTGAACCAGCCTTCCTTTGCATGCCTACAGTCTCCAGACTCAGCATAACCGGCTTTTCCCTCAGCATCTCAGTTCTGCCCTCTCTCTGAATAGCTGCTCAAACTTACCATCAGAAGGTTTTAAAACTAAGATAAGCCTCACCATCCCTCATTCTTTCTCTTCCTGTATTTAAACAACTTTTTTTTTTTTTTGGTTTTTCGAGACAGGGTTTCTCTGTCGCTTTGGAGGCTGTCCTGGAACTCACTTTGTAGACCAGGCTGGCCTCGAACTCACAGAGATCCGCCTGCCTCTGGCTCCCGAGTGCTGGGATTAAAGGCATGCGCCACCAACGCCCGGCACAACTTAATTTTTATATTTATTTAATTTAGAAATTCTCCTTCTTTTGAGACAGATTTGCAGTGTAGCCCAGGATGACCTAGAATTCACTGTGGACCCAGGTTGGCCTATAGTCCATGACATTCCTTCTGCTTCATCCTCCTAAGTAGTATTACAGGAATGGGTCACAATGCCAGGTTCCATATGTATTTTAAATACTAATTTTATTGATAAATTATAATAGCATCCATTTACTGGGTACAAGGAGATGCCTGTAATGCAGGAAGACTAAACCAAAGCAGTAAAAGTAACACCTCCTCACCTCTCTTTTTTTATAATACAATTGAAGTTACTGTTGTTCATTTATGTATTTTTTTGATACAGGCTCTATATATGTAGCCCAAATTTATTTCAAACTCACTCTGCAGCATGTTGGACTCAAACTCATGTCTGCCCGCCTTAGCCTTCCATCTGTTTTTCTAAGTACTTAAAATATCAGTTTTTCTAAGTACACACCTTTAATGCAAGAACTCAGGGGGCAGAGGCAAGCAGATCTCCTTGAGTTCGAGGTCACCTGGTCTATACACTGGTTTCTAGACCAGTAAGAGCTTCACAGTGAAGTGTGTCTCAAAATCAAAGTGACAATGACAGCAACATCATTTTCAATAATTACTCTAAGATGCAGCTCATCTTAAGGCCCATTCTGCCTGCTTTGCTTTATAGTTGTAAATCAACGATTTCCTGTTTTTCCCTTCTCTCTCCACCAGCTTCTCATAGCCATCATTTTGCTCTTTCCTTCTGACATCCATGATTGATATCAGGTGTTATTTATCTTTCATTGTGTGACCAATTTCATTTAGCAGTCTTCCAGATTCACCCATGTTGTTACAAATGGCAGGACTTCACCCCTTAAGGTTGAGTGATATTTACTGTATATTCTTTATCCACCAATGGGATTGTTTTCATATCATATTATTACTAACCCTACAATGGTTGCAAAGAGATCACAGCCCTTTGACATACTGATTTTCAGTCTCTCTGGTACCCAGGAGCAGGATTAGCAAATCAAAGAGTAGTTAATTATGGTTACACTAATCTCCACTCCTATCAATGATATGAGTTCATTTATCTGAATTCTTTCTAACACTTAACATTATTCACGCTTTCTTTAATTTTTACATTAATTTTAATTTGTATAATAAACCATACAGTGTGTGTGTGTGTAGGGTAACATGATGTTTTAATTCTTGCATATATTGTATTATATTTAAATCAGTTAAGTATATCCATCTCCTCAAATGTTTCCTACTTGTCTATGCACTAAAAGTCCTTTCTTCTAGATTTTGAGATGTCCATAATTATATGCAGTTACCACACTGGGCAATAGTTTTCACACTTATTACCATGTCTAGTTGTAATTTAGTATCTTGATCTCCTCCGGTTTTGTTAGAGAACTCTTGGTTGTGAATTGATATTTCACTGTCTATTTATCTAACTTAGGATTTAATTTCTCTCTTTTCTTGAGATCTTGAGATGTTCCTTTTCTATACTGCCCTGTCTCCTATGGTCTTGGATTCTCTTTCTTCTGTTTTCTTCCCGTGACTGTACTTAACTGAGTTTCAACAAATTCTGATCTTTTTATCTTTATCTCTGTTCTTTCATGGAATTCCACCCTACCTGATGAGTTCAGCTGTAAATTCTAAGTAGGCAATGTTAATGTTAACTTTAAGGCAGTGGTAGGAGAAGTTCCTGTCCACATCTATGGCTTCCTGCAGAACATCTGTCTTAAGCATCCAAGACTACTACACACCAGTGGATTTTATTCTGAGGGGAATATCATCATGCCTTCTGAATTGATTCTGCTTCTACATCAAACTTTTTCCTAACACTTTCTTTATTTTATTTCCTGGTCTTTAGTTAGATCTTCAACCCTTTGTATTTACCCTTTTCAACCCTATTCATTATTATACATTCCTCCTATAAATGGCTCCATGATCACAACCATTTCAGAGATCCCTGTGGATTCAGCCACCTGGTGGCAGCTGTGCGGTGGCTTAGCTTCTCTTGATCCAGCATGAAGGGGCCTCAAAGTTAGGAGTTGTTAGTCAAATATGGAATCTCTCCACTCAGAGTGCCCTGAGCTCACCCAGTGCTATTTCCCTAACTTTGCCCTGTGTTCCTCAGCTGTAGTTCATTGCAGCACAGTGTTTCATGCAGCTGTGAGGGTTTCCTATCAGCTGTCTCTGGGGCAGGGTCTCAGGCTTTCTGAGAAACCCATTCACACACACTGCATTGAGAAAAATCTGGTTCCATGTAGCTTACATGCATATGAGTCATATCCTGCATAGTGGCAATAACCTACTATTTACAGTGACTTATCATCTCAGTAAGAACTGTAAACTATAATGAAGCAAAGAAACAAGACAGTGACAGATGATATGAGACAGCCTTTCATTTCTCTTAGTAGGCTCTTGTCCATGTCTAAAGCTGATGCTTTTTAGAGGAGTGTCTTCCGTGAGGCTTCTGGTGTAGCAGTCTCAGATAGAGAAACAGAAAAGAAACCTAAAACGTACTCAAAACAGTAGCAATGGTGGTTCTAAATAGGACACCAAAATGGCCTGCACTAGCTGAGCACCTCCTGAGTAAAAGGAACTCTGCAAATGCTTTAATTACACGTTCTTACTAATCCACAAAACATCCCTGTGATATTGCTTTATCTTTACTTTTCAAGTGAGCCTGTGGAGCTGAAGTTCAGAGTGGTTAAGTATCTTATTAAAGATTACAAGGCTAGATTAGCAGAGCTAGCCGCTTCTAAAAATAATACGAGAATAAATTATAGAACTCATCTGGAAAGGAAAATATTTTAAACAAGTATTAAAGCTCTGCAAAATGATGACTAACTCCAGAAACATGTATACGGCTGATATGAGTGTGTGCTGTGCATAGAAAAAGCAATGTACTTACTCTCTGTCAATCACAAGGCACGTGACGGCCTCTGCAGCAATTACGTTTGCAGTTCTCACATCCTCCCTGCGTAAAAAATAGACACATTAGGATGGGCAGTCTTTAAGGCCAAAAGCAAATGGCTATGGCAACACATCCAGGAGCCATAGTCTACAAACTTTTTTGAATTATGCACTTCCAGGTTAAGGCTTCATGTGAAGAACCACTTTACGCACATTATAAATCACACATTCCCTGCAGTTATAATACCGCTGTTATAATTATCAAACTTCAAGTTTCACTTATGCAAGTAGAAGAAAATTTTATAAGATCATTTTCTTTGCTCTTTGGGGAGAATTTCTAAATTAATTAGGTGATGATAAAGATGGAAATGAATAGATTAATGCTTTTAAAGATTCTAAAGACATACCCATGGAAACAGTTTTTAATTCATCTGCTTTCAATTTGACATTGTAGCTTTGAGATCAAAGGACCAGTTTTACATAGTTTCTTAATATAGTAACACTGTTTGTATGCAACTAAGGTTTGGGGACTTAATGGTATTATAGCTAATCATCTGTCCCAGAGCTCATGGTTCTTCAAGTATTTGATAAATATTACTCACAGTGATTTAAATGTATAAATATTATAACAAATATTACTCACAGTGACTTAAATATATAAAGACTATCTCTTCAAAAACATGTAATTTTCAACTATAGTAGGTGATGGCAGCCTCTGAGATCTTTGAAAATCTTCCCTGATGTACCTCTAATCATGAAAGACGGATTTGGTGAATTAAGTTCACAAGTCATTTTCAGCTACCATGAACCCAGTATTTCATTGTCATAACATTAAATTACACCTGACAGTGCACTCTTTTTTCTTATGACAACATTTCCAAACCAACATAATTAATGGCAAATATGCTTGAAATATATCGCTGAGGCAATTGCATAGAAAAATACCGTGTTGACAAGTTTTCAGAACACGAAATACAATGTTGTACCTGAACCGGGCATCTAAAGTGTTGAAAATAAAGACGTTCCCAATGAATCTTTTACTACTGAAGACACACAAAAGTTCTGACACATACTTTAGATTCTGTAGTTTCCCCATTGACCTGTCTTTCATTGTTACTATATCATCTTGTTTGGGTTACAACTACTTAACAGAAGCAGCATTTGGTATTTGGTAAATCAAAAACAAATATTCTTTTACTAATATCATTTTCCCAGAAATGCCCTTATGATATTCTACAGCATTTATTGTTTGGTACTGACCTGAAAATCATTTTTCTTCCTTTAAAATAACCCACATTGGAATTCTTGTAAATATGTATTGACTTAATACACTGATCTTAGGAGCAACTGTTTCTTAAATTAATTTTTCCATACAAGACTATGGCATTCCTTTTCATTACTGGGTCTACTTTTATGTTTTTGAATGAGATTCTATAGGTTTCTGCGCCCATGACATTTCATGAATACTATTCTGAGGTGCTACAGATTAGTTTTCTCCTACATGCCTTTTCCATTCTTGTGCTGTACTGGTTGTACTTTACAGAACAAAGCTCTTCCTTACTTTGTATTTTAATTTAATTTTATTTTCTCTCATATAATACATCCTGACTGCAGATTTCCCTCTCTCCTCTCCTCCCAGTCTCTTCCCTACCTCCCCTCTTCCCCTCCTGGTTCTATCCCAGGAAAAGTTTTCCTTTGACTGTAAATTTTTTTTATAGTTTCTGGAGTTGCCTGTATGAGCCTCTCATGCCTGCTCATATTCTCTGCCTTCCAAAGAACATGGCCTCCTTTCAAAATTGGCAAACATATATTCTCTCTCCTGGCCAGTCTTCATAACATGCTGTTCTCAGGTTTAAGAACTTCTCTTCAACTGGATGCCTCTTCTGCCCTCGTTTGTCCTTTGGATCCTATCCCCAGTGCCCTTTCCTAAGGCATACCATCCTAAATTAGCTAGTGGGCTTCCCAGTATATCTGTTCTCATTACCTTACACATCTCCACATGGAAGTGACCATCACTCCGTAAAACTCATACATTTATTTATGTGGCTATTGACAAAGGACTCAATCTCTCTTCTGCTAAGCCATATAAAGGCAAGGGATGATGGCTAGATTTGCTCCCTATTTAATTCTTAATGACTAATATAGGAGTCACTTAGTAAGTGTGTGCTATGAGAAAGACATGGGTATTGCATTCCTGAACCTGGAGGTGGTAGAGATCAGATAGCAGCATCATCATCATCACCATCACCATCATCATCATCATCATCGTCTTGCACAGCAATGCAGTAGCCTCAAAGGCCAGGGGCATGGCACCCTCCTCGAACTGAAGTTTCAGGCACCTTTGAGCCACCAACGGGTGTTAGGGATTGGAACTGGGGACTTCTGCAAGAGCAGTATATGGTCTTGTTTGCTGATCCATTTATCCTGCCCTAAGTTCAGACTTCAGAGCCACAGGAACTTGTTTTTAATCCAAGATTTATAGATCATAAACTATCCAAACCTCGGTTTTCTTAACTGAGCATAAGAATGAAAAGAAGCCATTCAGTGCTACTCTTACCCAGTAACAAAGTGAGAAGTGCAGATGATGTATTTTCAGATCCATTATCATTTTCATTCCCATGGGCTTCATAACTTGTAAATAACTTATTCTCACCATGTGTTTAAGGCATCATAAAGTAGTACAAATAGTTTCTTTAAACAACAATTTTACCATGACTTCATAAACACATCATTTAAAATGTACTCTTCCATGTCTATCTTCTCCTTGACATTTATAATGGTGCCCATTTAGACCTTCTGTACTGGTGAAAACCTGCAAGCAACTACAGTTCCAAGCACTTGGAGGAGGATCATGGGTCAAGGTGAAGATAGACATGGAAGAGTACATTTTAAAATATCAATAGTCAGACTCAGCTCTTGAATTGCACTCCTGGTATTTGAACACAGTCTGTTTTCTGAATCAAATCCTTTCTGCAAATCTACACTGTTCATATACTTTGTCAGAGTTAAATTTTATAATAATTATACATGCATTAAGACACATAATAACTTTTGAGCAGTGTTCATATTATCTACCATAAAATTACATTTGTTAATAAAGTCAGTGCCAAAATATTTTGATGTCTAATCACAAAATCAATATGATAGTCATTTAACTCTTAAATTATTAGAATTCTCAGTTATGGTAATGTCCTAAACTGCTAGGCAGTTTTATAATATTGTCATGTAATACTAGGCAGTTATTTAATGTCAAGTTCATTTGACTCTAAGTCATGCTGCTATTATAGTTTCATTGTTCCTACTATTCATTTAATACTGCCCCTCTGTTCAGATGTCCAGAAATGCTCAGAGACCCTGCTTCTTTGAGGGACAGAATACCATCTGACTTGGCTTTGATGTGTATTAATCTTCCACTTTGGCAGACATGCTTCTAATGAAAGGGTAGCACAGGAAAAAGCTGCCAATACCATGATTATTGTGTATATCTGTTTCTATTGTGGGTCCAAGGACCATGGAAAAATAAATGTAATCTGCATTTTGGTTTAATGTTACAAGTACATATAATAGAGGAGGATTCTAATGACTATGTTGTCACTAAGCATTTTAGTTATCCATGTATGTTATATTTTTATAGAGAATATTGACTAAGCTAGAAAGGTTGTATTTACTACTGGCATAGACATGGAGAAAAGAAAAACATGGGAGGAGATTTTTTTAATCAACTTGATTTCTTTCATTCTTACTTGTTGGTGTGTATCTAGTAGATTCTAAGTTTTTTGAGGTTATACATGAGAATATCATACACCTATAATTGTAAGGTAATGCCCATGGTAAGTACACACTGCCATGATTGCTCAGCACATGAATCTTGGTACTTTGTATTAAATAAAACTTCTTATGTTCATAACAATCCAGACAAAACAAAATCTTACATTCACATAGTTCTTTGCCTGCAGATTAGTTGATTTAAGCATTACCAATAAGTAGTGATAGAAAATGGACCATTGCAAAACTAGCTACTGCTTGGACAATTATAAAGTACTTTCACAAGAACATTATCGATTTATAAAAGTAAAAGCAAAGCTTCATGGTTTAGCAGTAATCTCTTTTAAAACATTTTGTGAGGACTTAGAAACTCTTCTAGTGAAATTACAGAATTTTCAAATATCCCCAGATATCTACAAATACAGACTCTGATGGTCTGTGAACTTCACCACTGGAATCTTCATCATCGCTGTATCCCAAAGTAGAATCACTGTCAGTGTCTGAATAATCCATAACAAGGCTTTACATGGATTCCTCTTCTTCTGAAGCAATTATCTTGCAGTCATGGCTACTAGAGAACTCTATGGTGCATGGATGTCTCAAGGGAACAAATGCATTGGTAGGAAGCCAAGGCAGAGCAGAGTTCACAGGGGCGGGGAGGGGGCAGCTGCCAGAGTAGGGATCTCCCTCTGAAGCCCTGGGACAGCTTGACTGCTGTCAGCGGAGTCCCAGCACTCCATTAGTGCCAGCCTTCATGGAAACTGACACTCTTCCAATTGCCTATGAGCTCACAACAACACACAGGCTTAACCCTTCATTCTCTCTTGTGTGCAACAGTTTAATGTTCCAGTTAAATGACAGTCACACAGGATGAAGCAAATCCTGTTTATAGTAAAATTCAAAAGGAAACAAGTAAGATAATCAATAGTATAGGACACAGTAAGCATCAAAGAAGCGCGTAAATGGAATTTACAGTATAATTGCAGTGAATTAATCACAGGAAATTGTCTAGTTTGTGATGAAGCTGACTGCTGTTTGTACACAGGATCCCTAAGCAGCTTTGTGATTGTTTCGTTTTGTTATCTGAATCAGATCACTCTCATTTCTACTTCTAATTCAACTACAAAACTATTCCAAAATGATTTATACCCCAATTCTAATAAAACTCATATACTACATGTAGAATTAATCAGTGAATAAAGAAATTACAGACCTTAAAATCATGTTTGACACAGAATAACCAATGAGCTTTGGTTAACAACTTTTTTGACAAAGGTTTGTTCACAAACAAGAATAGTC